GATGTACGGAAAATACAAAGATGGTTTCGCGTCCGTCGGAACCAGGACAGGCCCAGCACACAAAAAAAGTTCTGTGAGAGCATGTACGTAGGTTTCTACAGGAGTTTCTGCTTTGTAATGTACAAACAATTGAGGGGATTTAACAGCGCTAGCCCATGCACGTGCATATAAGCTCCTGTCATATAAATTGTTTTGAAATGCTGCGCAGGCATCCACGGTCCCCAGAGAATTAATCCAATGTGCCTGTCAGCATCTGCTTGAGGACTTAGCTTAATACTTTGCAGACAGTAGTTGTTCACAAGAATTTTCTAGATGGGTTGCCATAATATTTAGTGAAAATATCTCTTGAAATGTATTTTAACCATCTTGGTGATCACTTTTGATACACTCATCAAGTAAAAATGTAAATAGGCCAAGTATTTTGGTTTTGAAACCTTACAGATGCCAGTGTAAGTGCTACTTAGTAAATGTTAAAATGATCACTGGGAGTGTGCTTATATATGTAAGTGCCTCTGGTGTATGCTAAATTCGTCTTTCTATTCTTCTCTTTCCTTTCAGGTGGCGTTTCACTTTTTACCTGGCGATTTTTATTTATGGCATCAACCATCTGTGGTCGGTAAGTTTAAAATGTACTTTTTGCCCTCTGCAATACTATTACCGTTCACGGAAGCGGTTCTTATCGTTGGCTCATAATAGGTGAACCTGCAACAGTATAATGCATGTTTTTGTAATCTGTTTCCTTCAGACATCGTGGATGTGGGATACCAGAGAGTGTTGGCAGAACTACCCTTTTCAGGTTAATATTTTTTCTGCTTACGCATTATATTTGATTACTTTTATTATAAGGAGACTCTGTTTACCACCATAATGTTAACAGGTCAGTTGGTATTGCTACATATTTATCAAAGGTGTGTTTCTTTCACTCTCTCCCAAAGCCACTGAGTCCTGAACAGCACAGCTACTATCTTGTAGAGCTGGCTTTTTATTGGTCTCTGATGTTTTCCCAGTTCATAGACATTAAAAGAAAGGTGAGTCCAACAACAACCGGTCTAACTAACTATTAATTGCCTCAATAAATGCACATTGCCTTTTGTATCAAAGCCAAATCCTTTTTTTTTTCTTAAAGGAAGCGTGTAGGATTGTATCTTGATTATGTGCTCTGGCTAAAAGGACAATAAAGTATACATTCAAAAATAAGTAGATCACATGGAAATTGGCTTGTTTTTCATGTGTTTGGGTAGGCCACCATTTGATCTTGTTTTAAACTGTGTCTACAGATGTGAACGCTTGAACACAACCACAAAGAAAATTACAGCCTATTTCAAATCTGCCTGCAACATTTCAGGGAGCTTCATTTTTCTTCCTGACTGTGGGCCGTTCCATAACCCTCTATTTCTTCTTTCTAAACTAACCATTTGATGCATTTGTGTGCTGAGGATCCTTTTGCCCTTTAAAAGGGCACCTTCCAGGTCCACCTCAGCTCGTGGGCATTTCCATTTTCTTTAAGCACAATATGATGCAGAATTTAAAGAGCAATTAATAACTGCAAAGCTGTAGTACTATAATACTTCCAGTGCCACGCTTTAGATTTGGGATGAGCTTCATATGCTAAAAGCTGTTTTTATTTTGTGCCACTTGTAAAGGATTTTCCTTACAGGTGATTGCTTTATGCCAAATGATTTGGAGCTCTTCCTTTGTCAGACTTGAAGGAATCCAGCCTTTGTAATGAAAACTTTTTAAGAACGCTTTTTAGATCATGGCATGGTAAGACCGCACACTAAAAGTGAATAATTAAAGAACACAAGATTCTAGATGTCAAAGGTTTAAATAAGAGGTTTAAATAAGAGATTCCTCCTGTTACCACCTAAGCAGGTTCTAATCAACAAATCTGGAACATGTGTTCCCACTTTATGGATTTAAAGTGGTAAATGTAGTTGTGTGACATTGCTAAATTTTGAAATTGGTTGCAGTTGCAGGTTAGGGATAACAGTTATATTAGACAAAGGATATTAAAAATTGAGCTGCCAGGGAATAGAAATAGGGAGCGATCACAGAGAAGGCTTATGAATGTAGAGAAGGAGAGGGTTGGTGTGACAGGTGGTACAAAGGAAAGGGCAAGATGGGAAAGGATGAGCGATGATCCACTGTAGTGACTGACAGAAGAAGAAGAAATAATTGGATTAGGCATGGTGCCTCAAAGCAATATGGTTCTGGGCTTGGACCTTGCTAGCCAGTTAGGGCCTTTATGTGTGGAGTTTGCAGGCACAGAGAACACATGCATGGATTTACAATACTGTACGTACACGATTTCCTTCCACTGTCCAAAGACATGCTTGGTTGTATGAATAGCTGGAGTGTGTTAAATAGATGAATGGTTTATTTAATTTGTTTTTGTTCAAAATAAAGTACAAAAATGAGCTACATCAGTGAGGTTGGTATCAGACAAACACTAATTTGTGACAGTCTAAACAAATGTTTTAAGCCTGATAGGGAGTAGGTGGAAGTTTAACATCTATCATTATGTAAAAACAAACTAAAAATGACAAACTGAACTTTATAGACTCTGCATATATTCTCATTAGCTACAGATGTGTGCACATAACACTAAAAATGGACAATAGTAATGCCTACATGAGCAGAGTGAGAACTCAACAGAAAAGCTAAACAACTTGAATTACAAGCTAATTCATCCTCAGATTCACATAGTGATTTGCTTTTACACCATCGTGTGAACTCATGTTTCACTTCTGATTCTCTGCACTGTTTAAAAGTGGGCCAAATGTTGGCTTTTTGAACCATCAGTTTCATCAAAACTTCAGGTTCAAATACACATGACTGTTCAAATACATGTAACTCAACGCCCTACGCTGCCATTCCAGTATTTTCACTTTGTATGATAAACTGCATTCTTGCGTCCATAATATCAAGTTAATATGCTGTTATTTAATGTGCCAGTAACATGAACGTCTTCTCTACCTCATTACCTTTCTTTTGTTACCTACATTTGTTTTTCTGATGGCAGGATTTCGTGATTATGCTTGTCCACCATCTGGCTACCATACTTCTCATCACTTTCTCCTATGGTAACAACATGATAAGAGCTGGCAGTATGGTCATGTGTGTGCATGATGCATCTGACATCTTCCTCGAGGTAAAGTAAATCTTTTAGATTTTTAGATGTTAGACATGATCCTGGTAAAGAGGGCTCTTGGCTTAACTCAGCAAGGCTGCCCGTGTAGGTATCCAACATGTATGTAAACACAGCTAGGAACACAGAAGCTGTGATGTGAGATACTTGTACTACCAGTTTTACAGAGAAACAACGTATTGACATTACAGTAACAGTGTGACACTGGTGTATATTACAACAGTGGGTTTTATTCTTATCATTCTTATTGTTGTTATTATTATTATTATTGTTATTATTATTATTATTATTATTATTATTATTATTATTATTATTATTATTATTATTATTAATCCCTAATGTATTATTTATTCCTAAGGCAGCCAAGATGGCAAACTATGCCAAGTACCAGAGGCTATGTGATGGCCTCTTTGTCTTCTTCAGCATAAGCTTTTTCATCTGTCGACTTGTCATCTTTCCCTTCTGGTGAGGAAAAACAAGCGCTTTCTTCCTTATATTTATTGTAAAACTCTTGTTATCTTCTCACCTGTTTATTACTATTTTCTTAACTGTTATATACAGATACATCTGCTAAAAATCTGCATGTTTTTGTTGTAGGATTATTCATAGTGTTCTGGTTGAGAGCTGGGAGATTGCTGGGCCTTATCGGGCCTGGTGGCTGTTGAATGGGTTGCTGCTCGTCCTGCAGTGCCTTCACATCATCTGGTTCTACCTCATCATGGGCATTGCCATCAAAGCCATTTTCAGGGGAAAGGTTAGTTTTGGGATCGGTTGTGGAAATTGATTTTCACATTTAACCAAGGCAGCTGGGTTTCCCTCCCCTCTTGTATCCTGTCACATTTTGTCAATTTCAGTATATGATACTAAGGCTAAACTGTGCTATTGTTTGTAATACAGCCACATTTAATCTAGCACCAAGATCCCTCAGTATCTCAGTTTTTCTATCATGCTAATCAGATAACATTAGCAATGATGTGACCATGGTAAACATTACTCGCTTAACATCAGCTCAAATTCATTAGGGTACTTATAGTCTCACATTGGAGCTAGCATAAGGTTCCGTTTTTAAGCCATGATTCATAACTAGTAGTTAAATTAATACTGCTTTTACAGGTGGCGAAAGACGATCGCAGTGACGTAGAGAGCAGCTCAGAAGAGGAGATTTGTAGCAGTACAGACCCAAGCCGGAACCAAACCCTCAAGGGAAACAGTCGCACCAGTAACCTTAATGGAGAAGCTCATGACCACTGAGTACCAAAGAGGGGATATTTTATTTCCAGTGTGGCCTTCTTTCACCAGTGTGCCTGTGAAACCCACCGTGTCACTGTGACCTTCTGAGAAGAACTGTTGCCCACTCAGAAAAATGTGTTTTTCAAACAGAGGGAGGACCTGAACAGAGGAACTCCAGTTTTGGCATACAGACTTTTATAGTGTGAAGTTTACATCTGCTGTTTGCTTACAGGAGTGGACAGCAACGTGTGTTTGTGTGTGTGTGTGTGTGTTCTTAAAGTTACACTAAACAGCACCAAATGGATGACTGCTCACACGGCTACTGCTGCATATGTACATGTCAATAATTTCTATTTTGAAACTTGGTAAAATGTTTGACTAATGAAAGAAGAAATCACGTCATTTGCCTTACTGAGTTAGGCTTTAGAATACAATTCCAAATGCCAAAGATGTCCTGATTCAAAAAAACCAAAGATTTCGTAATAAAACATTTGCATCAAATCCAGTGGTGATTTTCTTTCATTCTTTATAATGTAATGAGTGTAGAACGAAAACTACTGTCTTGACTGTGAAAACTGTCTTCACACATTGCCTTATTTCATATGATGAAAGCATAACCATAATAATTTAAATATATTTTATTGGAAGAGTAAATGGTAGGAACATTTTGGAACTGTTGGGATTCATCGTATAAACATGCGTACGCGTTACAACCTTCCTGTCCTCACTGCTGTAGCAAGCAAAAATCTCCATGAGTAACATTTATAATAATCAACAACAATACTTAGAAACCAAAACTTAAAGTAATTTTTAAGCAATCTGAGTCAAGCTTCTTCAGTATATTATTTTCGTGCACTTCTCCAACATCTCAAAAAGGTCTTCGCTGAAATCATTGTACTTCAGGCTGAAAGAGTTAGAAACAACAGCAGTGGTTAGACACTTAATTTTCTTTCGTGTGCACACTCTGGCTTAAGCGTTATCAACTAAAGTGAATTGCGCTTACTTCATCTCCTGCATCCCGTGGCTGTCCTGCATGACTTGGACAAGTGCTGGGATGGAAGCATCGGTCAGTGAGTTGTTTCTCATTTCCAGCTTCTTCAGTGTCTTACTGGCTCTTATTGCAGTGCACAAGTCTTCAACGCAGGCATTGGTCAGCTGGGTCATTTCAACACTACAAAACAAACAGACCAACATTTAAATGTAGTGGACTATAATGTGGTGATTATGATCACATCATTTTTTTCAACTCACTCCAGCTCTTCCAACAGGCAGCTTGGGTGTGCAATAGCATCCCAGAGATGTTTAACCCCTTGGTCTCCTACTTTATTTAAACCCACGCTCAGGGACTTCAGTTGAGAAGTCCCACTTTTCAGCACTGAGCCCAGTTCCTCAAAGACTGGTCGAGTTAACTCACATCGTGTCAAACTGTAGGGTGGGGCAAAGCACACAATAATGCTGTTATCTGAAATTCACTAAATATTTGAGAAAGGTGTTGCTCTGTCACTAAAAAGTTAATACAAATGAGTCTACCCAAGTTTTTCTAAAGGGCAACCAGGCCGTCTCAGGGCTTGGCAGAGCAACAGCGCCCCCTCCTGGCCCAACTCATTCACTGACAGCTCCAGCTCTGATAGAGTACAGTACTCCGACATTAAGGCCTCCTTCAGATGAGAGCAGCATGCGCCTGTCAGCTGGCACGTATAGAGACTAAAAGAAAAGTTAAAAGGCAGAAAAATATGTAGGGGTGTGATTTTTGTGTTCTTATATTTTACTTTTTTTTTTTTTTTTTAAAAATCTACAGATGCAGTTTTATTTAAACAGTCTTACTTGAGGCTCTGTAGTTTACAGAGTGGATGTTGCAGGGATACGCACAAAGCCTCCACTCCGCTGTCATCCATCGTGTTTCGTGCCAGTATCACTTTTTTCAGCTCTGATTGTCCAGAACGCAAAGCTGCAGAAAAAACCTTCATGGACGCTTCAGTCAGATCACATCTGTCAAGCCTTTCAATAAACAATAATTATGTGTGTATGTCAGTGATTTATATAAAAGCAGACAGGATACAAAAGTTTTAATGAAAACTACACTATTGAAGTACATACTTGAGTTCTTGAAGTTTGCAGTGAGGGCTATGCAGTGCGTCGCACAGTTTTGCAAATCCCTGGTCGCCAATCTTATTGAATGACATTACTAACAAGCATAGCTGAGAGGTGCCTGAGGTCAGCACAGAAACCAGGTCTTCACAGCTTTCCTCTGTCAGATTGCAACTTTGAAGACTAAAACCCAAAGCAGGTAAATCATTCTTCCAATTTTAAAAACAAAGATTGCTTAAAAAAAAGGGCAATTCTTACCATAATTCTTGTATCTTGCAGTCTCTGAGTCCAGTGCAGAGGATTTTGAACTTTTCGTCACCAAGGTGGGAGTAAGAGAGATCCAGCTCCGTGGTAATTCCTCTGTTGAGAGCTGAAGCGAGATGAGGAACAGCCCCAGTACTCAAAAAGCTTCTTTGCAAGCTGGCGGGTGGACAGCACAGTTTAAAGCAACAATCAATGCACTTTGAACATATGAATCAAATGATGTCAATTTTATCTAAACCTGTCTTACACTATCTTGAGTGATAGACTCATAGCTGGAGCCAGGACTTCTGCCATCTCTTCTGTTAGATTCTTTGTATTGTACAGATTCAACGATTTCGTCCCACCAAGGCATGTAACCACATAACTCCAAGGTACACAGTCTTGAAGGGTCAGGCTGCCATAGCTGAGGCCTATTCGTGCTGAGGAGTTGATGATCTCCTTAACCAAGCTCTCATTTTGAGCTTGATGAAGCAGGCGGAAGCATCTATAGTGCTCGTCTGCATTATATCCCTGCAGTGATTCCTCTGAGCTGCTTTTAAACCACTGCTTGAAATCTTTGACCCGATCAGGGTTGAAATCTCCCAGGAACTTCTCCAGTGGTCTGCGCTGAGTTGGTTCAGAAAGCCCTGAAAGGAAAACATCTAGAAACTTTGTACCATCTTCGTGCTTCTTCAGCATCTTCTCAGCACTCGTATACGTCATCTTGCCCAAAAAGAAAGACAATGCCAGGATGAACTCCTGGATCAGCTGCGAGTGGAATGAGAGCACACATGTATCAGACTCCATTTCACCATCTACTCGCAGGAAAGTATCAACTGAGGTGAGAAACTGTTGAAAGCCAAAGGAATACATCTGTGCTTTGGTGCAGCTCAAATGCTGCTCAACAGAGCAATGAGAAGCCATCCTGCCGAGGGCCAACACTAGCTCTGTGCCCTCTGCTTGACTCAGCAAGAGCGTCTGGATCAAGCCAACCAGGATATCTACAAACAGCTGAGATAAAGTCTCGGGAAGTTTTCCTCCAGAATCAATAAGAGGCTTGTAAACAGAGCAAACTGTCCAACAAAATCTTGGAGATGTACAGAAATCATAAAAGCCCAGAGACCTCTCCATGTGCATAAGTGCTTTGTTGGCAGCAGCAGCATCTGTAAAGAAGCAGTTTACGAAAGCTTTTCTTTGGGGCTTCAGAAACCCTAACACTTTCACCTGAGAACCGCTAAGAAACTTCAGATTCGCCGTTGGCCTGGTGGCCAACACAACTGCAGCTCCTTTCAGCAGAGATCTGTGAAGCAGACTGGCCACTAAACAGTCCACTGAAACTGCCTGGGTCGGGTGAGAGCAGAGGGTGAGCACAGAGGGGTCCAGGCTGTACTTACACTCATTCAGACCATCAAAAACAACCAGCACATCCTCGGGCTTCTGCAGAACCAGATGCATGGACTGAGGAGGGAAATAGTGGTGACAGCGTTGGATTAAGGTTTCTAAAGAGAGTGCATCTTCACAAGCATTTAAGTCCTTGAAACGGAAATGGAAGACATATTCAAAGTTCTGTAGATGTACACCCTTTGCCCAGTCCACAACGAGCTTCTCCACAGTAGTGGTTTTACCTGATCCTTCTGAGCCTATCAGGATAACAGTTTTGTTCTCACCACTCAGGCCTGTGTGGATGGCTTGATCCACGGTGGGAAAGTTTTCCTCTCTCACTTCGCCTTCTGCAGAGAGTGGGGATATGTACTTATTGTCGTTTATGACTCTGAAAGGCAGGTCTCCACCAAGGAGCGTAGGAGTGCCCTTTGACTTCAGGATATGAATTAGCACGGAGTCTTTGTCCATTGCGTTAATCTCTGTATGTATAAACCAGAAGACAGAATTAAACAATTTGGTTAAAGCGTGCAAGAACAGGCAACATATCATCCGTGTCCACAAATAATTTCCAGTGTGTTAAACTACTTACCAGCTGTGACAACTCAGCTCACGTGTTTACAGAAAAGTACAATAAACACAACTAGAAATAGTTGCCTTGGATACGGTGCTTTTGGAAAACAAACCAAAACACACGAGCGCAGTGGCTCTTCTGTGGTATACTGGTAGAAAAAAAAAAAGGAAAGAAGAAGTCACACCCTAACTAATCCCTCAAGCCAGTCCTCTTACGTTGTTTTGGGTTGTATATACGAGACATTACGGTAAGAGAAACTGAGACGCGATTTCAAAATAAATACATTTTAACAATAATTTTAAATAATACATTTTTAAATATAACACATTTACTACTATATTAATTCTTAATTATACAAACATTTAAAAATGAAGATTTCTAAAGACTTGTAAAGCCGTAACAAGTAAACTCGATGTTTCCAAATACTAATTTCTCTTTATGAACCGTACACCCTCACGGTGTAAATCAGTGTCAAGTTAAGAACTTTTATTACTTTCTTTGGAATCACATTCACCGGAAGATTGCTTTTATTTTGAAATCATATCTCGGGTTCTCTTACCGTAATACCCAGTATAAAAAATAACGCAAAATAACAGGAGGGCTGCCATGATCGCAGTTAAATAGCGGTTAGCTGGAAGTAGGAAGAGCCTGTGGGATTTCAAAATGCATCTGTGTCTTACAGACGGCAGAGCTTGACCAACTCTTCAAAACATTTACCTACTTGTGTTTTTTAGTTTACCGTATGTATTTTGTGCTGCTTAATAGCTAATAATGTATGTTTACTTTTAAAAAAACAAAGGTTTTCCCCTCTTTATTTTTGTTAGCATGCTTTTCAAATTCACATATCAAAACAAAACCTACATATGTTTGGAAAAAAATATATAAATATACAATATAGTATTATGGGTGTTAGAATTACACTGGTGTGTATGGGTGTGTGTGCTTGAGCTTCAGTGCATTAACTGATGGGTGGACAGTCAACTCCAGGATTTTCTGATAGAGAGCAGAATTCAAATTTCCAATTAGCCATCAAGGTCCTGAAGTTCAAGTTTGCTTCATTTTTAGAGGCAGGTAGGTTTGGATAGCTTTCTCTCTTAATACATGATGTGAAGCATAAAAGTGTAACAAAAAACAAAAAACCCCAAACAAAACTAAAGGGCCCAAATTCTTTTTTCCCTGCACTGTATTTTTAGCTGGCTACTCAAACACAGTCCATCCAGCTTGTGGCACTCGAGTCCACTCAAAGCGGTCTGAGACTTATGTGAAATGCACCAGCTGCACTGAGCTGTAGTTAAAAAAAAACTGTGTTGAAATTAGACTTCCCCTTTGCAATAAGCTCTTTCAGTTGATTGCGTAATAGGTACAAACTTTAACAAACCGACCTGTTGCAACAGTGTCATCCTGTTACAGTAACACAGCTGAAGTGAGCTCCTTAAAACGACTTGGACTATACCTGTGGCAATGACACTGAAAACACCTCAGTTTAGAGATTTAAAGTTGTGACCCAATATTTTTGGGTCCATCTAGTGCATATTAAAAAAAATGTAAAAGCTTTGAAGCTATTTTCTCCTTATGCTTTATAAGAGACACATCAGAACAACAGCTGTGCAGCAAGATCTAACAATAAAAAGAATAGTTTTTAATAGTTATTAGGAACATCTATAGAGCAAACTAACAAACGTCTTACAGTTGCTGAGTACAATTTGTAATTTAATGTGACAGAATCACAAGGAAACGAAAAACAGAGACACAGATACACATGGCCTTTTGATACAGTGAGGTTACAGCAGTTTGAAAACAGATTAATTTAAGGGTAGTTTTAAGTAGCAATCGGTCAGTTCAGCGCACTGCTGCGTTTTATTTGCCTTCGGTGTATGTCGTGTCCATGGTCTCCACTGTCTTGATGAGAACAGGACCTGACCTTTGTCTCTGCATGGTAACGGGCACAGCTGTGGAGAAGTCGGAAAAGGGCGTCGCTTAGATCTCTGAGATGAAGGCTATTGTTATGATCTCATCTTTATTTGTAAAATACAGTGCTGTACTTACTTCGGTTGGGCACTGTTTGGACACTGAACACTCTTTCAGTGCCATCAACACAGTCGTTACTGGCAACAGCTGCTGAAAAGAAGAGAGAAAAAAGAGAGAAGAGGGTGTCACTCTGATCCCTGAGATGAAGGCCATTAAGATGATCTCATCTTTATTTGTAAAATACAGTACTGTACTTACTTTTGTTGGGCACTGTTTGGATGCTGATAACAGAGTCTTTACCAAGTCTGTCAGGGTGAAAGCAGGAAATACATTATAGGGCATGTACTGGTAAAGTTATTCACACGGTTGTTCAAGTGAAGGTTGCAAAGCCCTTTGTGGCTCTAGAGGGAGCTGTGCAATAAACCTGTCTCATGTTTAAGATCCAGCAAAGAAAGACAAGTGATAAACCAAATTACCCAAAGTAATTGTTTTACCACTTTGTTTTTTCCCTGCCATAAAACTGGAAGACAGACTTCCAATAAACCATAAATCTCATCTATGTGTTACTTGTCAAAGTCTGGTTCTGGTTCTGGATGTGGATTGGGCTTTGCAGATTGGATGTAGATTTGTCTTTCAAACTTGCACCTGAAAGGCCGCTCTGCTCTACGACTGCAGTTACCACCAGTTGTCAAATACCTGTGGGTGTTTGCTGCATTCCACCCCTGGGCTCAGTTCTTTATTGTTTAATGCAACACACCGAGGTGAACTATTTGAATAGTGAGACAAATATGTGGTTGTGAAACTATTAAAAACAACCAAACCAAACAAATAACTTCTTGTTTCTGACTGAGGCTTTTGCTCAAGGTGGTGTTTTTTTGTTTTTCTATACCACACCCAATTTCCATCTAAACTGTCGGATGACAGATGGTATGCACGTACAGTAGCTCATACAACCAAAAATATCAGTAATGATTAATATGTTTTAATCATTTCCTGAATCACTGTAGACAGTTTCCAAGCTGAAACCTTACATCAATGGTCATCCATCCATCCATCCATCCATCCATCCATCCATCCATCCATCCATTCATTTTCTTCCTTAACACATTGTTGCCAGCAACCTCCTAAGTTCTGCTGGCTTACCTTTCTTCCTCTCCCTCCAGGAGTTTCCTGTAGGTGGAGATCTCGATATCCAGGGTCAGCTTGACATTCATGAGGTCTTGGTAGTCTCTGAGCTGCTTGGCCATGTTATGCTTGTCCTGCCTCAGAGCCGCCTCAAGGTCCTTAATGCGGCTTTTTGCATCTATTACAGCCTCTTCCCCTCGCTCTTCCATATCAGATATGCTTACCTCATTGTGGGAATACTGACAAAGAGAAAAGCTTTATTTAAATCTGAGCTTCACAGTGATTCCTGATGATTTTAATAATAATAATGGATTGGATTTATATAGCGCTTTTCAAGGCACCCAAAGCACTTTACAAT